GAGTCAGCTTGTCTGTCTGATCCAGAATGTAAAGCCCATGTTCCTCTCTACCATTGCCAATTCTCGTCCTCGTGATAAGGTCCTCAAAAAGACAATGATCAGGAAAAATGTCACGTTACAATTTAAGTCATGGGTAATACGACTCAAAGATAAAAGATTAACACTGAAATTGGGAACATGGAGGACAAAAGACAAAGGAAGGGAAGAGGTGGCATGAATTAAACCTTTTCCTGACACAGACGAAATAGTACCATCAGCAATACGCACTTTTTCTAGACTTGAGGAAGGGTTATACTCCGAGAATAAATTAGAGGAGCCAGACATATGGTCAGAAGCATCATAATCAATAATCCATGGTATAGGTGTATGAGATAGCAATGCACATGGAGAGGCAACCAAGTTACCTGAATTGGCAAAGAAAGAAGAAGGTGTACCTGTAGCAGAAGTGGAGACTCGACGGTCTAGCAAGTGGTGAAGAGCAACCTCAAAATCCAAGGCAGATAACCCAGAGACATCAGCAGCAGAGGAAATAACTGGAGATGAAGATGGTGGCTCAATAATGTCTGAAAGATGTGCCTGAACATTGGCCCCGTGGCCTCTAGACTGACCAGACCTACTCCCTCGACTACTAAGACGGTCTTCTCGGCCATCAGAGGGGGTCCCATGCAGCTTCCAACAAGTCTCTCGTGTGTCGTGGTCTACAGCAGTAGTCACAGAAAAGATTATCCTTCTCAGAGAAAGGACGAGAACCACGAGTATCGCGGCGGGGAGGGGGGGGTGTGGAAACCAAGGCAGAGCGATCAGTAGTAGCAGAAGGAAGCGTCGCAGAACGACGACTCTCATTCTGCACAAAAGCAAAGGCTTCTTGAAGAGAAGGAGCACATCCATGGCAAGTACTCTACTCTGAATCGGATCATACTCCACATTTAGGTCTTCTAAGAACTTGAAGACACGCTCTAATGCCACAAACTTTCGGTAACCAACAGAATCAGTGGGATAGACAGGTTTGTAATCCTGAAGGTGATCAAGTTGCTTCCACCCATTGTTAAGAAAGGTAAAATACTGAAGGATGTCATCTCACCTTGTATTGACCGTTCAATGGAGCGACGTAACTCAAAACCTTGGGAGAAGTTCCCCTTTGGGGAGGAAATGGTAGTCACTGCCTCCCAAATGTCCTGTGTAGTGTCCATAGAGAGATAGCTCTCTCCAATCTTCGGGATCATAGAATGGATCAACTAACGCATAATGAGGGAGTTGGTGATCTCCCACTAATCATAACTTGGATCCGTGGTGATGGGTGCTTGTATCCTGTCATCGACATATCCCATCTTCCCTCTGCTCTTCAAGAAAATAGTCAGACACTGTGATCATGCTAGATAGTTCTGACCATTGAATAGAGAAGTGGTGATTTTAAGGCCAGGGTCAAGATTATCAGTCATAGTAGAAGATATAACGGAACTCTCGCTCTTAAACGGCTGAGAAGTTGTTGACTCACTAGTGAAATCTGCCATGAATATTCTACTAAGCCACCCTCAAACTCAGTACCAATCACAAACTCGGAAGATGGTGGAGGAACAAACACAATAGTAACTAGAAAATCATAAAATTAAGAATCCACTTTCTTTTTTTTTTTTGTGTGCGCGCGCGTTGTTTTGTTCGAAGAAAACAGAGACAAACAGAGATTAAAGAGAGAAGAAAGAAAGAAAGAAAGAAAGAAGACAATCAGACGACCAACCAGAGGGCCACGAAAGCACCAATTGACCAACCAGCACTAGGCGACCAACTAGGTGACCATGACGACACCAGGCGACCAACCAGGTGCTGCCGACAGGCCTAGAGGAGCAGGCTAGGGCTGTCGACAGAGGCTGCGACTGCCATGGGAGAGTCGCCTGACCTTCGGCTGCGCTGGGTGGGGTGCGACTGACCCAGACAAGGTGGTGAATGGCCTGCACAGGCTAGGGTTTGGGCTTGAAGCCTGGGCAGCGAGGGTTTGGGTGTGGTTGGCCTTCGGTGGAAGCAAAGTGGTAGGTTCCTCCTGAAGCTTGGGTAACCAGCTTAGGGTATGATGAGATATCACCCCTTATTTATAAATGAAGATTTAGGGTTTACAAAGAAGACAATTACAAGATAATCCCTGAGTGCGTAAAAATGATTACAGATCCTAGAGACTTTCGACTAATATAATATGCTAAGTGCCTTTCGGTGATTATAATATGTCAACACCTCCTATTATGGCTTTGATACTATGTAAATTTAGAGAAGAAAAAGAGTTAGGGAATGAGTTAGACTTCATTCTCTTTTATATTGATAATATTGAGTAATTACAAGAATGCCATAAGGCATAATATAAGGAAACACAATCACACAATCACGCATTTTCCTATTCTAACTTTATTCCTATTCTAACAATAAGAAATCTTTGCCATATCTCCAGACTAGATGTGTGATACATCTCTTCTTGGGTGTGATTGCCTAGTTTTCTTTGTTTTATCTACCCCTTTCACCTCATTATTTCTACTAAATTTCTCTGCCTAAAATCCATCCTGCTTGTCTTGTCTCTAAACTCAAATTTAAGCTCTCTAAACTCTACCTTAGAGTACCAAAACCTAGTCCTAATCTGTCCTAAGCCTCCCATAAACATTCAGCCCATCTTCTCACTTTATTTAACCCAATTGTGGAAGATCCTACATTAGGTGGTCCAAAAACGTAAAAGAACCAAATATGTGCTTACCACATCAGCACAAGGACCCTAAAAGGTTAGAGAAGTAGCCGGAAAACTCTGGCATATCACAGAACAGTGCTACCAAACACACTGGTAGCCCTGAAACAAAGTAAAAATCACAAAGTTTACTTACCACATCAGCAAATTATTGGTCAACTTAAGGAAAAGGGAAAAACACCTTGATAACAAAAAAAAGGTGGAGTAAGAAAGAACTCTAGAGAGAAACAAGCCTAGGGTTTGATGGGCTCTGATACCAAGTTAAATTTTGTAATAAGGCAATATGGTTGAATATAGAGAGACAATAGAGACAGAAAAAAGAAAAGAACACAAAGGTTTAATATTGGCCTATATTTACACACACAAATCCCTAAAGGGCTACGTCTTTCATTCACTCAATTTCATACTCTTGTTTACATGATACACCATATATATAGAGTGAGAGATACAATTAAATCCCTTCAATTAAGGAATTGAAATAAATCAAAGATACAAAAAATCATAATAAGAACAAATCATGAGATCTCCATATGTTCTGATATCTTCTATATCTTCTAATATCTTTGACAATATAATATTATCTCCAACAGACAGTACACCGAGGCAAACGTGGATTCGATTGATGAGGTTGCTAGTGCATTTGTAGGGACTAGAGGTTTTTAGAGCGATCAGCGAGCAGTGTGGTGGCTTTCTGGAAATTGATGAAGACATTGAGTTGATGAAATCTCTTGGATATGCTTGGATTAAAGTGTGAGGTCGCTAACATGTTGTAATTGTGTGGTGGGGTCAATGATGTTATCTTAGCCACATCCCAAATGACCCCTTAATCTCTCTTTCACCCTATGATGGTCATGATTTGGGGTTTGAGTTAGGCCTGTTTTGGGAACAGGCTATTTTAGTAACTTTTTGGCTTTTTGATTAAAATATGAGATAAAAAAAACTAGTATGTTTGGATTGACTTTTTGGTTTTTTACGAAAAGATGTGCAAAAAGTAGAGAGAAAAGGTAATCTTTGACTTTTTGGTATAAGTTATAGGCTTTTTGATTTTTTTAGTAACTTTTTGGCTTTTAGGCTAAAACTGTTGCATGCCAAACGAGGCCTTATTACCCAAAAAAGAGAGAAATGAGAAAGATGTTGTGTATGGTGATACAATACAATAGGGTATATTTTCAAGATAAATGGACATGAGGCATAATATGATTGGAGCTAGGATCAAACTGGCTCAAATTGACAATTTGAGGATCAAAATGACAAAATTGAAACTTTGAGGACCAAAATGACAAAATTGAAACTTAAGGACTAAATTACAAAGAACGCTCACTTTAAGGATTAAAATTTTCTTTTATCCATTAATTTATTCACCGAGTAAAATTTGTGATTCAAACGGAGTGCTTTAATTTAATTTCTATAGATGAAATGAATTACCAAAATCTTCATTTTAAGTTCTGGAATGATTTGTAAAGGGGGGGAAAAAAAATCACACGATCAAGATCCATTAATGTAATTTTTAAAGAACATGTGGGTGCTGAAATAAATATATTATCAGTTTTTAAAAAAAGCAAAAGTAAAAGGGTGTTTTTGCAAATATCTCAAATTTTGAAAAGCAATTGCCAAGGGGAATGTGCACAAGAGGCTTATATTCACACGATCAAGATTTCACTTTGCCAATGTAAAAAATTACATACCACCACACTATCAACAACAATGACACAATGGTTGCTGTTTTTCCTTTTGGTGGCTTAACTCGCCTATCAGTATTTGGCACTAACATTATGCCCATACATAATAAATACTATGGTGTCTTAATCCAGCCTATAGGTCTCCCTGTCCATAGCTCAAGCCGCAAAGCTGCAACCTATCCTGCCCCATATTTGCATAGGTTGCATCTGATGTCATACTCGATGTGGTAGTTGGCTCGATTCCAAATGATACAACCCCTAGGTACAACTCACTGTTGAAAATCGGCTTGCAAGGAAATGGTGCCCAAGAGACTTATATTCACATGGCCGAACTCTCATTTTACCGATGTGGGACAAACTAAGATCATAGCATCTTATGTCTTTAATACATTTTCTAATAATCTTTCCCTCTTTGCTGTTGCACTACTCTCTCTCTATAGCATGCAATCTTCAGGAGATGTTTTCCCTCTAGTTTTATCTTAAACTCATCAGTCAGTATAAGGCATTTTCTTTCAATGTTTCCCTGTTGTGCTTTAAGCTTCCATCAGTTCCTTTGATTATTGATTCATCTTTCTCTTCTTATCCCCTTTCTTGTACATCAGCTTACATGCTCCAAACCAGAAACTTCGGGAAAAAATTGTGCCTAGTGCAAAATCCTATCCTCTGGATGCAATCATGAAGGATTGCAGAGATTACTTCCTCGAGACCAGTCGACGAGTATCTTTTGAGTACACACTTCTAGGTATTTTAATTTGGAACCTATACTTTTTCCCTTTCCTTTCTTTCTCACACAAATGAACAACATAAAAGTGATGTGACTTTTAATGGCAGCTGGAGTCAACGATTCGGTAGAGCATGCGATAGAACTTGCAGAACTACTCCATGAGTGGGGACGTGGTTATCATGTGAACCTGATACCTTTTAATCCGATTGAAGGCTCTGAGTACCGGCGTCCATATAAAAAAGCAGTATGTTCATTTTCTCAATTTTCTTTTGCATCAACCCAGTATATATATAGTTAATGCCTTCTCTTTTACCTGTTTGTCAACAATTTTATTCATTCCTCTTCACTCCATATAATGTCACTGAAATATTTGATTTTAATTTTATTGTTGTCTTTGGCAGGTGCATGCATTTGTAGCCACTCTAGAGTCTCGTAAAATAACTGTGAGTGTGCGGCAAACACGAGGACTTGATGCAAGTGCTGCTTGTGGGCAGCTGAGAAATGAGTTCCAGAAGAGCCCCTTGCTTGCTGGTTCCGACAACCTGCAATCTCAATTAGACATCCCAGTTTCTTGTTGACAGACAAAGTCCCTGAAGGACTCAGTCAAGTTCTGTATCCCATTTCCTCTTTTTGTTCCCCCTTTGAAAGCGCACGATAAAAGTGGTTATCTGATGACAAATCTAGGTCAGCTCTCCCAGCTGCAATGCATTCAGTTGATAAGCTGAAATGAGAAGGAGGCAAAGAGAATCCACAGTGCATATAACGATCCTGCATTTCTAATGCAAAAGCCATCGTTGTAAAATGATAGTTTGGGCAAAATTTCAAGCCTTGATGTGCTTTTAGGTTTCGTGGGATGATGTTTGACGGATGTCTATTAGTGAATTCCAAGAAAATACAATGTGAAATTTAAAAAGTTTGATGTCTCATGCTACAAGTGAATTGTAGACTGATGAAACAGGCAATTTTTCTGTAAATTAATGACGAGTTGAAAGGTTTTTATTCTACAATATGCTCTTTTTTTTTTTTTGGTTAACTCTATTACTATGTGTTAAAATCATAGTATATAGGCCCATATGGTCTCCCAAGGTTGTCCAGACACTGTTCATATTTAGGAAGTGCTTGGTTTGACTGAAAAATGATTTTTAGCATATATAAAATAATTATTTTTTGGCCTCTTAATAGAATTTATTTTGAGTAAAAATAATGGAAGATATCAAAATAATGGGAAGTAGAAAAAATAATTGTAAATTTATAAAAGTACAACACTTATTTGCATAATTTAGTGCAAAAACTATTTATATTTTTATGAGTTTGTAATTATTCTTCCAACTTCACTTTTTTGATATTTTCCCTAAAATTAAAATGGCTATTTCTTAGTTTCTTAATGAAATGATCATCTTCCAAACAAATAAATTTTAATAATTTAAGCTTCAATATTTTGAACTTTTTGAGAAATTAGATACTGCTTGAATATAATATTCATTTTAAAGTATTCATATATAGAATGGTCATTCCCATTCCTTATCTTTCGTGTATAATTATCATATTTTTTTTACATTATGAATTTTGGTTCTATTTAGGGTAAATTATACTTTATCCATCAACTTGTATTACTTTACACACTTAAAACTAAAAGTTGTCACACTTAACCTCTCATTTATTATTATTATTATTTTTCAATCTGGGCCATTATGACGAAATTACATTTTTGGCTACAAAATAAATTAGATTTTATCCTTTTGAACTATCACCTAATAATATCACTTTATTCACTCAATTGAAAAATGTTACATTTTGTCACCGTAAATTATAAACTTGTATCAACCTTAAAAAATAAATAAATAAATACATAAATTTATATCAATGTAAGTATTTTGTTAAGGACCTGTTTTTTAAGTAGATGAAAAATTAACAGGTGATTTGCACATTACATCTCAAATGGAATGTGTAAAATGACATTATTAGTCTTTTTGGTTTAATTTTTAAAAACTATCTTTAAGTTTTTTAATTTTAGTAATTTTTTGTCTTTTAGTGAAGTTGTTTTTTTATATTTTAATCAATTTTTTAAACGTTTTGAGCTTTGTTTAACTGAGTCAATTATAGTATAACATTGTGATTATTAATCTTTCGGACATACATTTTCAGTGTTTGGTTGTAATTTTTGTTATTTAGATTAGAATTCAATGGTCATTTGATCCAACAAAATGGTGGATATTTTAATTTGACAACTAGTAATCCAAAATAAAAATAAAATTGGAATTATATATTTTCTATATTCATTGTAAACAAACATGGACAAATGGAGATTATAAATCTTATTAATCTAATTTAATTGGATAATTAACTCTACCCTGATTCCATAGATTGTTAGTTCCCTCATTATTAATAGGATTTGGCTCCTCTCCAATCCACCATTGCACTAGAGGGGTACTGTTGGGCTATTTTGGGCCCATATTCGGGCTCATCTTAATGATACAAATCGTTCAATTTGTAAAATCCATTGAGTATATCACCCCTACAAAAAATCACAGTGATCGGATCCGATCACATTTCTGTCACAACTTATTTTGAAAAATTATAATTGTCGTTAACAAAAATGTAATATAATGAAATGTCTATCGATATCCAATCAACGAGATTTTTTACAATGATGGGACTCGTTTGGAAACTTGGCTATTTTCGTTGGCTTTTTAGTTATTTTAGTTTGGTTTAAAAAGTTGTGTTTCGGATAATAGTTGACTTTTATTTGTAGTTGATTTGATCGTTGTGAGAGAAAAAGTGAAACGATTATGATTTGGATGTGACATTACCTTATTGAATATTTTAACCTATTTTGTCTTAATTGGCTATTTTAGCAAAACCCAACTTCCCAAACATCTCCATGATATACTCAATGAGCTCTACACATTGAACAGTTTGGATCATCGAGATGGACCCGATTATGGCCCACAATAGCCTAACAACACCCTCTAGTCTGATAACGGACTAGAGAGAAGCCATATCCTTATTAATATTAGGGGGAATTGTTGGTTAGTGTAGAGTGAAAAAAATATTTACAAAAAAGTGACAAACATACAAATATTAATAATTAAAATCATAAACTTTTTCAATTTTTTGCAAATACTTTCTCCTGAACCCACTGATGGGTGATTCCCCCTTAACAAAATGCACTCCTTGAAAAAACTATGGGTATGTTTGGTTTGTGTTTGAGAGATGTGTTTTAGAGATAAAAAGTACGAAAAGTTGTTTGGTTTAGTTTTTTTCAAAAGATGTTTTGGAAAATTATTTTGAGAGAGAGTTTGGAAAAAGTGATTGATTTGATGTGTGTGAGAGAGAGATTTGTTTGGAAAACTTGTTTGGTTTACAAGTTTTGAGAAATTTTTTGAGAAAATTTGTTTGGTTTGATTACTTTTAAAAACTTATTTGTAGAGAAAATTTCTCAAAAATTTCTCAAAAATACAAACCAAACGAACCCTATAATTCCAAGGATATTAATATAACTATGTATAATACAGACAAAGAATGGAGTATACTTGGAGTAAAGTGAAGTGGGAAGAGCGACTCCCTAATTTTAAAGAGATTGTTTATTTGTAAGTATTTTATCAATGAAAAATAAATTGTTTTTTAAGGGTTTTATTTAATATTGCATGAAATTTAAGAATTTTATAAATAATGCCAAAATATGTATGAGTCTTTGATAATATATATGCAAAATCTCAGGAGAGATGAGTGAAATTTCTCATTTAAATAGATAAGGTAACTAATGGATAATTTCGTCATTTTTAGTATTATAACCTATGAACCCCAGAAAGCTATGGCGACAAGGCCAAACAATAAGCTATCTCTCCAATTCGCTCAAGGATCTCAAAAGGCCCAATGAATCGAGGGGATAACTTTCCACCATTTCCAAACCTCATCAAACCTCTCCTAAGTGATATCTTCAAAAACACATGGTCTCCTACCTCAAAAGACAAGGGTCTTCTCCTACGATCAGCATAATTTTTCTGGCGATTCTGAGCCGTAACTAACCTCTTACGGATAAGTGAAACTTTCTCCGTTGTTTCCCGGACTAACTTTGGACCTAACATAGGTGCATCACCCACCTCAGCCCAACACACAAGGGATTTACACGATCGGCCATACAAGGCCTCAAATGGTGCCATGCCAATACTCGATTGGAAATTGTTGTTATAGGCAAACTCCACTAAAGGCAAATGCTTCTCCCACGAACCCTTAAAGCCAAAGACACAACCTCAGAGCATATGCTCTGACTGCCTGTCAGTCTGAGGATGCTACGCAGTGCTAAAAGTCAATCTCGTACCTAAGGCACTCTATAGGGTCTGCCACAACTGAGCCGTGAAACGCGAATCTCTATTTGAAACAATCGTCACTGGGACCCTGTGCAACCTCACTATGTCCCTAATGTAAAGGTCGACAAAATAAGCTACTGAGTCACTTACACGTATAAGTATAAAGTACACTGACTTAGTCAACCAGTCAATTACCACCCAAATGGCATTACTACCCCGTTGAGTCCTCGAAAGGCCCACAACAAAATCCATCATGACATGCTCCCACTTCCACTCTGCTATAGGCAAGGGTTGTAACAAACCCACTGGCCTCTGATGCTCGGCCTTCACTTATTGACAAGTAAGGTACTTCGTTACAAACACGGCCACATCTTTCTTCATACCCCTTCACCAAAACTAGCGACCAAGATCGTGATACATCTTTGTGCCTCCCGGATGCACCACAAGGCGTGAATGGCGAACTCTCAGAGTACTTCCTCTCAGCAAGACTCCGGCAAGAAAAGACGGTCAAGGTATCAAACACTCAAGTAGGAGTACACGTTTAAGTCTCTTTCTACCTTCCCACTGAAAATCTTTTTCTATAGGGATTCTACCTCAAGGTCACCCTTCTGTGCTTCTATCACTAAATCACAAGTGTAGGTTATGCAACTACCGAAAATAAGGCTACAAACTCAACAGACTCGCTAAGATGTAAGTCAAACTCTGTAATAGCACCCAACATCTCTCATTCCTAAATGGTAACACTAGCCACACTACCAATAGATTTCCTACTTAAAACATCGGCCACAACATTGGCCTTTCCCAGATGGTAATGTAACTCAAAATCATAATCTTCTATAAACTCCATCCACCTCCTCTGCCTCAAATTCAAGTCTTTTTAGATAAACATATATTTCAGACTCTTATGATCAGAAAACATTTCAAACTTCTCACCATACAAATAATGCCTCCAAATCTTTAAGGCAAAGATCACCGCCGTTAGCTCTAAGTCATGAGTAGGGTAGTTCCTCTCATGTGTTTTCAACTGCCGCGAGCCATAGACTACTACCTTCCCCGTTGCATTTAAACACAACCCAAACCTTCTCGTGAGGCATCACAATATACCAAATAGCCCAAACCTCTCTCCAGAATAATCAATACCGGAGCAGTGGTAAGTCTAACCTTAAGCTCTTGAAAAGACTTCTCATAAGTCTCATTCTACATAAACTTGATCCCTTTCCTCATCAATTGTCACGCCCCAAAATTTGGACAATTAAATATTAAATTATGACTAAACCCCAATAATATTCCATCATTCAAATCTTAGAGGTGAAACAAAAAAATTAAACGCTAACCAAATCATTTATCATAATTTTATAACTATCAAATACCTTCAACATTAAAGTAGCAACAACTAATCAAAACAACTTAAACAATATACAGTTACAAACCATGCCAAATTATTCCAATACTAAAGTCATAAAGAGAATAATAAATACATAAACCAATATCAATTCTAAGCTCAAGAAAACAAAAGAAGTCCAAACGACATGTCCAACACTATAGTAAATCCATGTCACCACCGTAGCCCCAACTAATCCTGCAAAGGAAGCTCAGTTGTGCTCAAACAGAACGCACCCTAGTTGCCAAGAGACAAAACAGGTCAGTATACAGGTATACTGGTATGAGTACAAGATTTAACACACATGTGTCCACCA